AACTTAAGCATAAGGGAGGGGGTCGTCTACTTTCGATTTTTTTTTTGCTTGGAAAAAGCTAGACTAAGAGAATTAAGAACACATATAATGACTCATGATAAAATGTCTTTCAACGTTATGCTACACTTTTGTCCACCTAGTGATTACAATCTTTTTTGATTTTCGAGATACCATGTAGATTTTCGAGTTGAGTTGAGTTGAGTTTAGTTCCGTTTAATTGAAATAAATTTACTTAACTTGAATTTAACAAAATTGTTTTCAATCTAATCAATTAATTAAATTACATAGATTACACTGAATTTAATTGAACTAACTTGAATTGAAATTAATTAAATTAAATTAAAATAATTTTTAAATTGAATTGTAATGGTTTGAATAAAATAACATTATTTTATTTAAAGTGAACAGATATAAATTAATTCAAACTAAGTGAAATATACTGGAAAATCAGATTACTTTAGATTAAATCTAATTTAAGTCAACTAAGTAGAGTTAAGATTTAAACAAACAAAAACCCAAATTTAATTTAGGTAACTTCAACTTTTTCGATTTTTCAATTCAGTTTACTTTAGATTACATAAAAATTAATCAACTGAACGGTATTAAGATTATTTAAGCAAAAAATGCGCAAAGTCAATTCAGATGACTTTTTCCCGACTTTTCGATTCAGATTATTATTATTGGGATTAAATAAAAATTAAGTCAATTAAGATAATTTAAGCAAAAGCAAAACTTCAAGTCATATATGTGACTTTCGATTTTTCGAATTAGATTATTTTAGCTTAACTAAACTCAACTTAATTAAAGTCAACTAAGTCCAGTTAAGATTACTTAAGCAAAGAAACCGCAAAGTCAATTCAATTGACTTTTTTCCGATTTTTCGATTCAGTTAATTATTTAGGATTAAATATGGAATAAAATGGAATTGAAATTATTTAAGCAAAGAGAAATCACAGTCAATTTAAATGACTTTTTCGATATTTCGAAACAGATTATTTTAGAATAAATAAAAATGAAGTCAAATAAGTGGAATTAAGATTATTTAAGCAAATAGATTAATTAAGATTAAATAAACATCAATTCAACTAAGTGGAATAAGAATTTTTGAAGCAAATAAAATACAAAGTTACCTCAACTAAATTTAGTGCTAATAATAATAAATAAATAAAAGAGACTAGATTCTGAAAATCAACAAATTTCCAGAAAACGTAATTTCTTCATGTTCTCACATATGGTACTCTGCCACGGCATTCTGTTACCTAATCGTTTATGTTGTCTAACAAATTGTAACGGATTCACTCAATTGAAGCAGAATGCATTCCACATACTTTTTTTTTCTGTTATTGTTGCTTTTACTGTGTTTTTGTTAATGTTTTTTGCTGGCAGTAATCGTCACGCCAATAGCTTCAATTTCAATTTCAAATGCAGAGTGAAATTAAGCACCTATTAGAGAGCTTCGCATATTGACACCCAAGCAACACGCGCACACATATACAGATGCAATAATATATATATACATATACATAGAAATGCCGATAATTTAGAAAGATAAAAATGACGGCGAGTTTTCTATTAAAACAGCTCAAATTACAAACAATAACCGACCGAGTTGATGTCCGCCTTCTCCCTCCCTGTTGGTCTCTCTCGGCTAGACTCGCCCATCAAACAGCTGGTCATCCATATTGATCGCCCCTGCTGTGCGCTTTTGAGGCCTACAATTACTCTAAGCGTTGACAATAATTTTTTCTACGTTTGTTGTTGCTGTTGTTGTTGATGCCACACAGATACAACGCGGCAGTTAATGTTGCCTCAACTGGTTATAAAGGGCGACCACATCACAGCTGCTGCGCTTAGAAACGCCACAACTGCGTTCGACACATATAGCATTGATATACAGAGGAAGTCGAGAATTGAGTATTTTATTGCTTTAATATTTCTTTTTATGTTTTTATCATTATTTTTTTTTTGTGCAAATTGTTGAGCATTTTTTTTCATAACAATCGTCTAGTTGTTGCTTAACCGCAATTTACTTGAAATTCGCTTGGTAACGGACAGCGTACGTCATTTTTATTAGTAGCTATTGTTGTTGTTGTTTCTAGAATATTGCATAAATTCACTTGGAATTATGAAAATATAAATAAATATGTGTATAAATGCATGTGTGTGCTCAATATTTTCACGCAACTGTGTTAGATATCTTTATTGGTGTCAATTTCACTGCAGGCGTGTTTTTTACTGCATCAATTGGCAGTTTTTTATTATGGGTGGCAACAAATTGTGAATAAATTGCAACTACATACATACGTATTACATAGTTTCCGTTATGCAAATGCTGTTAAATGATTATTATTAATTTAATATTTTTATTAGTTGTACAAATAGTAAAATTAAAAAAATAAATGTATGCACAAATATTTATATTAGTCAATTTCCGGTCTATTAAAGCCAAAACAGAGTTAGAAGGTTGCCACTAGGTTAAAAATTTTAAACCAAAAAATTAATAGATTAGTAAAAAACGCAAAAAATGGTTTAATTAAAAAGCATGTCGTTGAGAGTATTTTTAAGCGTTGCCACCTATTTGCAAAACAATAATTTTTTTAGCGTGGCAAAAAGGCACTGGTAACTAAAAGCAACTAAAAATCATGTAGTTGGAAGTAATTTTTTTCAAAAGGTTGCCACCTGCTCACCACTTTTTTAAGATAAACAACTTAACTTTAGAAACTCAAGGACATGACAAATAAATAATAAAACGTAAGCATTTTTTAAAAGAGTTGCCACCTGTTCCAATATGTATTTAAATGAAATTGGTGATTAGATAAAATTGTTCTAATAAAAGAAATAAAGTTTTTAAAAATTAAAAGTATATTAAAAAGGGTTATGATGATGACGCAGTCAAAAGCCTTTGTTGAAAGGTTACCAGCTGCGTATAATAAATTTTTGTTATGTGAATGTGATAATACTAAAGTATTGGTTGGTATCAATTTAAAGAGAGAAATGAAAAACATATAACGAAAGCTTTTTTAAAAGCGTTGCCAACTATTAAAAACTTACCTAAATAAAATTGTTAGAAAACTCAAAATTTTATACATACGTTTTATGAAGTCTTCAAAAACTTATTATAAATTTAAGAAATGTGCAAAAATATTGCAGCCAAAAAAAAATTTAAAGTGTTATTAACAATTTTTTATTATAATATGTTATGTAAATACGATAGTACGACCGTATTGGCATCAAAATAGAGAGGGTTCATTCGGTTTGCAGTTACAACTGTAAATGTAATCTAGTGGGGTTGCCACGTGTTTACAATACATGGAAGTATTTTTGTTAAATATTAGCGTTTAGTACAGCTTTCCGAAAGGTTTTCAAGAAGTCTTATAGTTAGACGTATTTTAAAAGAGTAAATGTCAAAATTCCCTTACAATTGTAAACTGTTTTCTAATATACTGGTATGTATATATTATATAAATTTGTTTGAGTTTTTTCTGCGTTATACATAATATACGAACACTTGTACATGTGATTTACATAAATAATATGCGTGTTTAATTGCTTACATTTGTGATTGTCGGTTGCTTGTTTATCAACTGAATTAAACATGTGTGACTGACATTGCTTTCAATGTCTGTTAATATCTAGTTTTAGTTGCATTCTACCGCCCACTTTGTTATTAAGATTTTATGCTAATTAGTAATTACAAGGAATTAGTGGCATTTCCTTGGAAATTGCTGAATTTATTTGGAAAAAGCTCCCCTGACAGTAATTCTACCTTTTCGGTTGTTGGTTAGACTAAATTTTATTTCACCACTAGCAATGTGGTAAATATCATTTCTTTTGGTAAGAGGAAAATGTCTCCAAATCACGAACATTAGTTATAAGTGAAATGTGAGTGAGTAAATACAGTATACTGGTGCTAAAAATTAGTTTTTTATGATATCTTAAAATTAGCCATATTTTGTCTCTCTCTTTCTATGTTTCTATCTCTTACTATCGCTTAATTTCTCTTATTTCGCTCTACTACTAGGGAATGTTCTTTTACCTCTTTCTCCTTTTCTTCATTTTACCTACTCACACCTACTCTTACTATCACTCTCTCTCTATACCCCTATATCAGCCTCTTTCTCTCTCTATACCCCTATATCACCCTCTTTCTCTCTCTTTTTTTCTCTCCCTGCCGCTATTTTCTCTGTATTTCTTTTTCCCTATCTTTCTCTCTTTCACTCTTACCCCCTATCTCTATCAGTTTCATCCTTTTCTCCTCTCTTTCTCTAGGAGCTTCCATTCTATTCTAAGGTTAATTTTTTACACCTTCCCTTCCCTTCATATTTTAATAGGCATAAAAAATACTATTTTAGTTTTTTACATTATATTTATTTGTTATAGATTCTTTCAAAGTCTTCATTCTCAATATATTAGTTATATGCAAGATTTTGTAAATTTTCTAGTTCAGATACAGCCAATTTATCCTTTGTGGGTAGCATATCCTCTCCCCTCCCTCTCTCGCTCTTTTTCTCCCTCTTTTACTCTCTATTATTCTTTATTTATTCCTTTTTCCATTTTTTCTATACCTCTTTCAACTCTATTCCTTTCTCTATCTCTCTTATCTTAACTTTCTTTATCTCCCTTTTCCTATCTTTTTCTCTTTTTATCTTTCACTATCTCTATCTATCTCTTCCTCTCTCTATCAATCTCACACTTCATTTCTCTCTTTTTCTAGTATCTTCCAAGGCTTCCCTTTTAGATCTCTTAAAGTTGAGCTAAATACTACTTGCATTTTTTTATTTGATATGTTCTATTTCATAAGTCATATCCAAGATTTTGAGCCTTTGCCTGCAGCACTTCTATTGTCAATGATTTATCCCATCCGTTCCCACGATAATTCAGTCTACTTATCTCGAACAGATTCAGATTTACAGTCCACCAAGAACTCTCAACTCAGCACTAACCATCAACATTTTTTCTGAGATATGATGCCTAAATAGTAGAGCCTCATTATGCAGAATGTGTAAGCCTATTATAATTGATTGTAAAAAAACTTTTCGTAGTGTAACTCTGTGCTCAGCCTAACACCCATTTGTCGTCTTAAAAGCGAAAAAATTTCATGTAATACAGTTATCGCTATGTACTTTAAAAAAAAGCACATCGCTCATTATCCGAATTTTATACTTCACTGAAAATAAATGTTCTTTCTTGTCAAAGAATGAAGTGAAAAAATTAAAAAAATACAAACAAAATACAAAATATTCGGCTTGCAATTTATTATATATTTATTTTTGATTTTGTCAAATCAAAGTATATAAAATTTAATTTGCGTTAATTTTTTGTTTTAAATTTTTTGTGGCGGTCTCCAAGTCAGACCATGCATACGCGAAATTTTTACGGCGTCGATATTGAAGAGGATCTTGGCATACCGTTGTCATATGATGCGGCCTGGAAGATCTTCAATCGTTGGCCGCGTGAAGTGCGCGTACAACACCAACGATTGGGTCAGCGAACCACACCTTCGAAGCACGTTTGGTGCTTTTGTCAGGAAAAAAATTGTACAACGCGTTGTCCGTTCTTCGGCTTCTATAATAAGAAAGACGGGCAAACTGAAAATAAGTTACAGGACATAATGTCGCACACGCAAAATGTGGGACGTAATCCACCAGAATATAAAGGATTGCTACGTAGTCTCAATAAATGGTACAACAGCCGATGTGCGGTTGGTTCGAGTCAAGTATTGGATTTGTCGAAATTGGAGCAATTAACGGTAAAATATAAATATCCTGTGTTTGCATTAAACAAACAGAATAGTTCGCGTAGATTTCGTAGACGTGATAGCAGATCGGTGTTTTCTCACGATACAAAGTACAAACCGCCCTCGATGACCAGCAAGAGTAAACAGCGTAGCAGAGCGAGCAAGGATTGCAGCTCTTCCGAACTGTATTACACAATTGAGAACCAATTGCGCAATCTCAGCGTGAGTCAGTCGCGTCTCAAACACATGAGCGCAAGTCTCTGTCGTTTGGCATATGCCAAAAAGCATGCCTCGAGGACGAAGTTGCAGCCGAAGATCTACAAACGCAAAGTCATGCGAAGATATCGCAGTGACATACCGATTGTCAGCAACAGTGAGAGCACCGGCAATACCAACACGAGTAAAACGTCGAACTTCTGTAGTAAAAGTAGCCGGAATAGTAAGTCCACGAAGAGCACCGATGTACAAGTAAATAAAGACAGTAAGACAATCGAGAGCAGCAAACCTAGCAAAGGCAAAAAGATGAGAAAGCGTACCAAATCTACTAGAAGAAAACAGGCGAGCAAAAATAGCAAACCAAGCAAAGGCAAGTTAAGTGAGAGTAGTAAAGCTACAGAGAGCACAAAAGTGAGCAAATGCAGCAAGCGTAGTAAGAGCAGCAAGTTGAGTAAGAGCAGTAAGACAAGCAAGACGAGTAAAACTAGTGAGAGCAGTAAGACTAGCGAAAGCTACAAATCCATTACTCGCAGTAAAATTACTAGCACCAGCCGGATCAGTGAAAGCAGTCGGTGTAAAGACACTACTAAGAGCGGTTACAACAGCAAAAGTGGTGAAACTAGCAAGAGTGGTGTCGCCAACTTAAGTACCGGCATTAGCAAACGCAGCAGAACCAGCAAGAGTACGGCGCCGAGTAAGAATAGCATCAGCAGCAAGTCTACGAATGTAACAACCGCTAAGGCGATCAGTCATCCCGTTGTTAAAAGTATACGCTTCAACCTTGCTAAAGGCAAGAGAGGCGCAACGCGCTCCGCTGGCGATGAAGAGCTGACTTCCAAGCGTAAAGCCACCGGCAGTATAATGAAGGAACAAGCCAAAGTTGCCAAGCCGCAGATACAACGTCTCGGCGGTGGTAATGAGTTACTGAATCGTAGCAATCGTAGGCACATCGTGGCTTGGAACAGCGGTGCCGGCGCCGCGAACCGTAAGCCAACAGCTGAGGTTGCGCCGAAACCCAACAGCAAGTTCGCAGCCAATCAAATAGCCGCCCCCACGTGTTGTCCAATTAATAAACGCTCTATCTTCATTGATGCTGGTGGCGGCGGTGATGCTGAGGCTCATAGGGGTCGACGCTGCAATATTACTCGGAAACCATCGGTGCGCATCTCCAAGCCGATACTATCATTGTTTCGCAAGAAGCGCACAATTTCCAAACAAAGCATGACATTGCGCGATCAAAAGTCAAGGTGTTTCTTCATTAAAGGCGGGCGTCGCAAGTAATCAAACCAAAATTTGCCTAATGTGTTATTATTAAATGACTCCTTTTTCGTAAATTGCTTACACCAACCAACTTTGATGTGATTTTGTATATAGGTTTCTGAAATTTATTGTACAAAGTCACATCAACTTTGGTTGTTGTAATAGTATATATAGCTTTAGTTCAATTTAAATTTCTTGTACTGCTATGTATTCGGTTGTGGTCTTTAAATTATTGATTTCAAATATATTTCATGTTTATAAAGTAATGTGTTTCAATTAATCTCGATTATTCGCGAGTTCTATTCAGCTTCTATATAGAATAAATATAAAGTCAAAGCTCGGTGAAGTCCTTACAAACTCGCTCATATATCCGCAATTGTTTGCCGTATCAACTTCAAATTTTCGGGGAATATTCTTGAAAAACTTGAAATGCATATTTAAATTAAGTTGACGAAAAATTATCCTAGAGATTATATGGAAAATTTGTAAGAGTTGCCACAATAATTTTTATTATTAGTTATTTCAATAAAATTTCAGCATAAATTGCCACAATAATTATTATTAGTTATTTTATATACATATATATATATATATATGAATAGATACATTTTTTGAGATGACACTGCCAAATAAGGCCCAGAACATCTCAAACAAGTATTCAGGGTTGCCATCTAATTTTTATTATTATCTCAATAAAATTTCAGGATACATTTTTAGGGAAGAGATTAATAGTTATGTATAAGTCCCAGTACATCCCATAAAAGTAGTCAGGGTTGCCACTTAATTTGTTATATTTGTAAATAAAATTCCAAACATAAATTTTGGAGAAGATTCAAACAATTATGTAAAAGTCGCTTAACCTTAAACCTAAAACCTGGGACCAAAATATTATTATAATATTCCAAAATGACCAATGACCAAAATAACGGTTGTCACCTGTAATTTAAATTCGAATAAAAATATGCTTGAGTCAATTACAGATTTATTGACTTTCCAGGTGGGAAACAGAATATTCCAGAAAAGCAGTAGTAGTAAGGTTGCCACCTAATTGCTATTATAGGTAAATATAAAATTCCAACTCTTTTTTAAGAGAGAAGTCTGCTAATTATCTGAAAGTCGCTATATCTATACTGGTATAAAAATACTACTAATATTTGTAAAATTAAAGTATCGTAAAGGTATAACCTGTAATGCCACCTATAACTTAAATACGAATAAAAATATAAATCTTTTTCATAAATTATAATGAAATAATTTATATTATGCATATTATGAAGGACTTTTAGTGTAATTAATGTAAAGCTTATGAAGAGTTGCCATATATTTATATGAAGAATAGTAGTTGCTAAGTTAAATATCAATATATTAAAAAGTACTCATTGTGCTCTGTAGATAAAAACAAGCATTTTTCATATGGTTGCCATTTAGAGTATATATATGAAGAAAGATTTATCATTTTCTTCTGAGTCTCTGGTTGCCAGCAATTAATTAATATATACTTGTATGCGAATTTTAAAAATCACTTTATAAAAGACCTAAAATATTTTTAAAGACCTAAATTATATTCAATGGCCATTCGACGGATAATTTGGTATACATTTTTGTTTATAATTTTTATCGAAAGTTTATAAAATAAAGCCAAAAATTTTTTGAACTACAAACAGCAAAAATATATATATTTTCACATTCTATAGATTTTGCTCAGAGCTGCCACCTAAATTAAAATATAAATAACCAAGATCATAAAAATAACTGCTAAAATCGACCAATTATAAAAGAGAAATTATTTTTAATCATATAATTTTTGCCTTCAACTTTCTAATCAGTTCGGTTAATCAAAAAATTTAACTACTTAATTTTCTGCTGTCCGGTGGACCCGCATGCGTGGAAGCGTGACACTAAAGTGTGTGCACATGCGCCACCGTTTGCAGATGCGGTAGGTCAAAAAACCAACTCATGTGCCATCTGTAACATACATGGTTGCAATAACCACATGCTCCAACGCATTTTACTTCAGAATACTGATCGTCACATAAGCAACGATTCCACACAGAATATTTGGAATGAAAGCGTGCATGTGCCCTGTGTGTTGTGTGAAAATTGGGAAAAGTACAATTTTAGGGCAAGCTCGAATAAGAAACGTCGCAACGCTATACATTCGCTGCAACCATTGATGCCGACAATCAAAACTGATCGCGAATTAATAAAACAGCTGCTCAAATCACACCCCGCGGGTTACAAATATGCTTGCAAATGCGACCGCACAATGACGGAAAGTTGTGAATGTAAGAGGAAAAGCTGGGAAATGCACAGTTCGAATTATAACGGGATTTACAAGCGAATCATAAAAAAACAAAATAAATAATTTACTTTAAAAAAATCAAATCTAACATATAAGACTAAGCGCATTGTACAACGCAAAAAACGACAACACACCACTTTTTATGGGTCCACTTATCAGATATGTTTGCGTTGTTTATACCACAACTTCAATTTTTTTTTGCCACTCATTGATAAATTACCATACTTTTTAATAATTTCGAACAACATGGCAACCCTTTTTTTTAATAAGAGGCACAACTCAACTCATATGCTAACTGTAAAAAATTATGGTTGAAAATATTTAATTGATTGGTGACAATTTTTTTTCCAAATTAATTTTTCAAAGTGGCAACCCAGTTGGTTTAAAAAAAATGTAAGCTTCTTCAAAATTCTCTTAAATTTTTAAATTGGTGTCTGTAATATATACTTCTGTGCTAAGCACTACTTTTCCAAACTTGCAACTTGGTAACTCTATATATTTTTAAATTTTCTTTAATGTCCAAAAATACCTGAATATATATTTTGAAATGAATATAACTTTTTTGTGAAATATTCGCAAATTCTTTCTTTTATAATTTTGTGGTTTTCTTGAATAATTTATTAGGTGGCAACCCTTTCTCCATTTAAGCTTCTCTAACATTCTCATAAGTTTTCAAAGTTGCTGCCTATATAATATTTTTCACGCTTTAGCACTGCTTTTTAAATTTTACCACTTGGCAACTCTATATTTTTTTAAATTTTCTTTAATGTGTAACAATACTTAAGCATTTCTATTTCAAAAAAACTTCTGTTTGAAATATTCGAAAAACTTTGCTTAACTAATTTTGAGGTTTTCCAAATTTTATTATCACTTGGCAACGCTTTTCTGCGTTTTTATTCCTCCTTGTGGAAATTCCAAATTTACATAATTGTTTTTTGAAGTCGTTACTCAACTTTTCATTGTAAAATTTTTGTAACTTGAAATATTCCAAATTTTTTCTTGTCTCTTTCTGTATTGTGTATTTTCTTTCAATGCATTATAACAAAAGAAACTCGTAAAGATTAAAAAAAAATTGGAAAACTCGAAATGTGCAATTCGTATTATAACTGTGCAAATTGTCGTTGCATCTCTTTCGCAAATAAAAAATGTCAGTCGTCCTGTCGCCTCAATGATTGCCACAGATTGGTGCATTTACTACATCACTGGTATGATACCCCCAAAATGCCAAAGAAATGTACGTGTTGCGAACAGATCAAGTGCAAAAAGAATAATCTCCTGCATCAGTTGTGTCTCGTGCCCGGTTTGCGCGGTGAAACGATGATGCAAGTATTATGCATGCCAACAATACCGTTATGTGTCTGTCCACCCTTAAAGTCCACAACGATTGTACCAAAAACCGAAGCGTGTGAAGAAATTATCGAACGTATAAGTATACTGAAAGATGAGAGCAATGCTGCCGGCCGTTTATTGTGCGAACTCAACGAGAGCACAGTGCGACCACGTAAATGTGAGGGCGTAGCACAAAAACGTCAAATGAATACATTCCTTAAGGGATTGAATAGTTGGTATGCCAAACAAATGAAGAGTACAACACGTTTACGCACGACACGTGACACAGGCATGCCATATGTCGATACAAAGCCACGCAAGCGCAAGGACAACCGCAAGCAAAAGCGTATTTCGGCGGAACGCAATAGTTATTATTGGACATCGGATTTTAATTTTACATTCGAAGACGAATCACCAATCGATTCGATTTTAACGGTAACATCGGACACGCGTTTAACGATTATAACGACCAAACCCGATGTCGAAGTTGTAGACGAAACTATTGCCATGGAGGATATAACGAACTTGCTGAAGCAAATACAAGCTAAACCCGGTCGGCCGATACTCTTTCATTCACCCTTCAATAGAGATGTAGTGTGGACTTGGCGTAATTACGATCCCTTAAACGATTTACCCAAAACGTTAGCGAAGAAGCAAAAGAATATACCCCGCAAATCCGAGTACACACCATGGACCATGAATATTGTAAATGATCTGATTGAAGGTAAACCTGTGTCGGATAAACAATTCAAAACGAATACTGAGTTGCAAAGTGTAGTCAATAAATTGGCGCTTGAGATCAAGAAGGGCAAAGTGCGTCGTGTCAAACACAAAAGTAAACTTTAGTTGAACACCCTAAACTTAGTTAGTTAGGGTTGGCCTAAAAATTAACTTTTTTTGCAAATATGTGTACCACTCATAAATACTAATAAGTTGTACAAGTAGTTGAGGTTTTGAGTGTAAATTGATGCTTTGGTTATAATGCGAATTGTATATTTAGAAAAAATAGTTTCCGCCTAATTCAATTTGGTAGCATTTTCTGTAAATCTTCAATGTAAATAAATCAAGTTGTATTACGTGATTGCTATGTGTTTTATAAAAGTTGCAAAGGCAACAAATTTTCGAAAATGTCTGTGAAAATACTGAGACCGTCTCTTATCTGCAACCTATGAACTCTTAGAGAGCTTTGAGGGAAGATTTCTTTCTATTACTTTTTGAGCATCTGGGATAATATAACCGTGATTCCGAAAGTAATGATTGCCGTTAACTCTTTAATGGGCCGTGGATCAAACGTGCATTTTTCCGCTTCAAATAACACCAGAAAGTGAAGTCAAGGGTGGAGAAACTGCAGTTTTTGATCATTTAGATTTTAATATTTTTCTTGCAGAAACTGAATAGTTTGGTTCGCAGTAAAGCTAGATCTTGTTAATCTCGTTGTCACTAGTCACCATCTTCAGAGTCACCGCTATGGGCTTTCTTGAAAAGTCTTCAGCTCGAAGTGCTAATCTTAGTGTATTTAGTGTCCAACAGGAGTGTTTCTCTTTACCTTTCTGAGTTATCAGAGGACAGCAGCTTGCAAGAGTAGTCTTACAGACAGAGCTATACTGAGCTTACGAACCGCGCCCGCGGATAACTTTGAAGCTCTGAATATGAGCTCTGATCACTCACTCATTTATGTCAATTTATATAAGGTTTTACTTTATTTATTTTCATATATTTCCTCACTATTTTGCTTTCTGAAGTTTACAAATCACTTACAGAAATTATATTTTCATTTTAAATGTCGAAACTGCTAAATTAAGTAAACATTTTTCGGAAAACAAAACAAAATTGCAAGTAAGAGATATCGTTAAACAAAATGTTTAATGCGTATAATGTCTACAGTTACGAGCAAGATTATCAAACATATCCCATTTGCAACAACAATAATCCCGATGATTGGCAATTCAATAAACGTTACCTAAACCAAAATTCCGATGAACGTTTGCCCGAAAACCAAGTACTCCATCCGTGCACCGGCCCAGAGCCACCAGCAACACCCTCAACTAAAACGCTGAAGCAAGCCATCGCCTCGTTAAATGTGATGTACAGCGTTGCCAATGAGGAGATTCCGCTACAAAATTACACGGCCGAAAGTGATATTTATATAAATGATTCGCTAATGAACGCCAATATAAAGAGGAAAAGATTTCGGAAGGTCACAATGCCACGTCGATTAGCTGATCCGAAAAAGCTGGAAATGAATACTTGGTTGAAGCATATGGATGAATGGTATACGGCGGAGATGCGTAAGGATTGTCCCCAATTGATGCTGAATCACAGGAAGGATAGGAAAGTGCGTATTGCGCAATTACAGCGTTGCTAGACTGATGAAAAATGCAGCGAATAACTTGAGTTCAACTTTAGCTACCACAACACCGCGCATAACAGAACTTGTGAATATCATTTCCGGTAAAAATTATAATTTGCGAATCGAAATCTTAAATATGGGTTCATCTATGGAGAAGCAGGATATATTGCCTATAAAACCTGTCTAGGCGTGACCGTAAAAAATGGTCCAGGAACACTATTTTGCTGGTATAATAGACCTATATGATTAAAAAATATTTCAGTTGGTTTTAATAAATTTGATTTTTTTACGGACGCTGTAAGGTTACTTTACTAAAATCCGATGATAACGATCGTATGAGATGTTCGCTTTTTATCGAAGTAGTCTTAAAAACTATGCTGCATTCTATCCAGAATCAGGGACCGGTTAGATCCTGCTCTAATGGGTTTTACCTGACTACAAATAATACAATGAAAACTATAGCCTTTGAAAAAGTTTGTAGTTACAGTGACTTGAGAGGTAACAATGTGGATTATGGTTGTAGAGTTTACTTTGCTGAACTATTTATAAAACATTTTTGCCAGTAATATATCTCTGTGTATTATATCTGAGGTTTAGGTAAGCTAGTGACCACATAATTGCACTTTCTATTATTTCCGAATTGTTTTGGAGGACCACGGTTCGTTATCGATTTTGAGAGCTGTTTTTCGTAATCTCGACGTCTTCACGGATCATATTCGCTTTGATATTCTGCACTTTAAGTCCTTGTTTGCTGCTTTACTGATTTTGTGCCTTTTATTGTTGCTACATCTTAGTGATAATACTTAGCATTCCATACTCTAAACATGGAACTTGTGTAGCTCTGTTTATTTTGGAGGATTTTTTAAAAAATATGAAAATTTTGTCGTTTTAAGATGTTTTATATGCTCCCTTGAACAAATATGAACTATCGGGCTGAGTTTATACGTCATTTTAGGGCTGTGTTTTACTAGATATTTAAATGGATGAGAGATTTTTATGAGTAAGTTACCCAACTCCCGCGCTTCTGCTGGATATCTAAGTGGTTGAGATATTTTTATGAGTAGTTTTTCCAACTTCCGGGTTCTTACTATAAATCTAACTTCAGGATTTTCACGGGCTCTCTAAATAAAAGAGAGATTTTTACCATTAAATTTTTCCACTTCCGAATTTTTTTGTGGGATTGAGTTATACTGTCGACCTAAAAATCATTTGACGGACATTTCTTCGTAAATTTAGAGTTTATAGTGAACGATGCTTGAATATCTACTGAATACTTTTACTACTTTACTGTAGGATTATAGACTGTGGCTTATGCGGATATGAGCGTGCTTGGGTTTTTTTTTTTGTTTTTAATCCTACACTGCTAGATAATCAGTCGTATTTTGTTTATAAAACAGGAAGTCTAAGAATTTGCCTTCAAAGCTGAAGTCATAAAATTAAAAATAACAAATTTATAAATATTTCGGTTTTCCAAAACAATAAGTTGTGGCCGTTGCCAAGAAGTAATGGACAATCCACATTGTAACGAACCAAATTCGTTCGAAAAACCACCAATTATGGAGGGACTCAAGTATGTGACAATGCTACCAGAGCAGTTTATGAATTGGTGTCTCAACGGCCTGGACAGAGCCAACGAAAGTTTACGCATGTTAGTCTCAACTAATTCAATAAAAGCGCCGTCCAAAGATATGGCGACAATTACCGAGCCACAGCTGCTTAGCGAAGCAACTTCAACAAAATTTGCTGCCAACAAAAGATCGCCTACAAACAACGCCAAAAGAAAACCCACAGAGAAGAAAATGGCCTGCAATTTAAACGAATTTTTTCCTTATCAACTGGATCGGCTGCGGCGCGTATTGTATGCGGATGACGATCACATGTTGCGTCAAGAGTTGGCTGAAGAGCATTACAATGCAAATTTCTTCAATCAAATCGATAACTTAGAGTTAAATCACAACACTATAAATGCGAAGTTGGCGCAAGAAGCGCTTATACAGAATGTTCTGCACAAGGATCATGTTGTGCCAGCTCGTTCGGAGACCGAGTCAACGCACCACCTGCCACAAAGTTGCGAGAGCCGCTTCTGTCGGCTGCTAGGTGGTGGCGTTAACGATCGCAATTGCCGTTGCAACTGCTGCGGTAAAGTCTGTCGATCAAAACGCATTAACCGAACTTTCGTCGAGTATGACTGGACCAACTATGATTGGTGTAAGCCACTTAGAGCGGAGTTACAGCGACGCACGAAACATTTGAATCGGCTGAAGAGAGAATTGCAACTGCGAGCCATTCGTGTGCTGCCGAATGTCACACATTTTTAATACACACACGCATACATAGACAAACGCAAATAAACTGTATGAAATGCTCAAAATTTTGATGGAACGAAGGTGGTTTCGAGTGTCTTCCTTTTTCAGACTGATTTTGCGCTTTCGCTCCAACATAATTTTGTGAATTTGCCATATAACGGTTTAATGTGGTATGAAAAATCGATTTTTTGTGCTTTTTGTGTGGATTGTCGATTTGCTTTAAAAAAAAAAAATTAACCTGCATTTTATTACATTTTGAAAAATTAAAAAAATCGTTCCACATAAATTTAAATATGACTTACTTGTTCTTTACATTTTTTGTTTTCTCTATATGGATTCTGGTCTACAAACTTCTCATGTCGTAAAAAGTCAGCCAATTTTTTTTAACCTCCAATTAAACCGATTCATTTTTATTTTTATTTACGGCAGAACATATCTGGAAAGAACGTCTGAAATCATTGCCATTTTTGAATCCAAAGTAAAATCCCCCAAAACATATAAAATATTCATTATTTGTGTGAAATGTTTAAAATCAGATTAAATTGGGGAAAATATGGTGGTTTTGGAAAATTTTATTTTTTATTTTAAGTCTAACAGAGATTACGTTATATTAGATGCCGAAGTTTCAGTTCCACTATCTACCAATGAAACATGAAGTTGGAAAACTTTGTCCCAGACCTGAATACAAAATTATCTCTTCATGGTCGTATTTCTATTCATACTTCAATAGATTGTAATTATCGTAAGTGAAATTCCGATACTTCAGCGTATCCTATGAAATCTGTTTATAACCTTGTTCGAGACTAGATGACTTCAGCCATAGTAACAGAACATATACATTGCTGAGAATTGGAATACCAAGCTGAAGAAGACATGATTTCCTGCATCTTCATCGAATTTACATTTCTCAGCACTTAAGAAGGGTTTTTGTCAGAGACTACCTTAAGAAGCTCGTATTTTTATATTTGATTACAACTCCGAAAGTATCGCACATCGACTTTTCGATAAGAAAATAATTTTAAGTCAAAGAATTTTCCACCCTTCTCCCATTACATTTCTTCCCTCTACGAAGTTTACAAACAAAAAATTTTTTCAATAGAAAAACACAAAAAAATTTAAATGTGCTGTCCCTACACAAACAACTGCAACAATAACTGCAGAACAGTTACATTGGATAGTGTGCCCTTTTATTGCGATGCGCAGGATTTGAACGAATGGAAACGTTTCATGATCGAAAAGTTCTGGCCCGAAGACGGACCACGTTGTCACTGTTGTGGACGCATAAGATGCAAGAATCGTGGTTTATTGCATAAACTTTGCATGGTGCCAGGTATGACAGGACGCACCATGTATGACATACTCACGAAGTTGGATCCGAACTTCAGTGTGTGCCAATGTGGTGAAGCCTGGAATTCCTGGACCAAATTAACCATACCCTTCACCGACTTCCCAGAGAAATGGGGTGATCGCAATGCCGATGAAAGCAATATGAACCAATTACCGTTAACTGACGTCAAAGAACATCATTCGTTAAGTGCGCTACCAAATGATCCCGATTGGTTAAAGAAATTCAGTAATTTTTATAAACAAGCTTGTTTCACGGGTTTCAACAGAGAATACACCTACAAAGGCCATAAGCCATATGATGATGAATATTTCTTAAATTATAACAAAAGTGAATATGAGTCATTGAGAAATGAATACGATAGACGTAATCGTTCTGAAAACGAAGGAGAACGTGAGCAACGTGGCAGCCGAAATCGTAGAAGACGTTCGAGAGGAAGTGGCGGCAGCCGTATGCGCGGTAGCAAACAACGCCGCAGCTCATCCATTCACTTGCGCCATCGTAAGCGGAGAGGCTCGAGTAATTCTAATGCAAATGCCAACAGACCCTCGATAGGACCACCTCTAAGTCATCACTTACTGCAGAATATACATCGCTTGCTAGATGCTGTACGTGAAAAGCGTAAAGAAATGCTCCAGATTCCATTCGCCGTGCTCTATCATAGACCAAGTGTTTATCAACAATTCTTGTCGCGTGAAGATTTGAGGGACATCGGCAAAACCCTCACCGAAATTGGTTATGACGCAAACGGCTTGGCAGAATTCCTAAATTTACTAAATGAGGCCACAGAACGTTATGATGAGTCGAATAGAATTAAGCCGGTAATTAGCCGGCCAATGCTGGAGAAAACGTCTTTCACCGCTAAGGATTTGGAAAGGATTGAGAAACATTTCGTCAGGGTCATTAAAAGAAACAACAATTTGTACATTTAATTGCTTCAAAATCTTTTGTGGCTGCGGTATAACATTGGACCTTATAGAAAAACTAAATTTATCTGCTCTTTCCGGGTCTTGAAAGGGGTGAAATGGGTTGAAATTCTGGACTCAACAAAATTGAAGAAACGTAGTGAATTTATAAGAGTTATATTTTTCTTTTGGTGTAAGGTAACAAAGACTTCAAACTTCAACGATCTGAAGGCCGAATTTTCAGAGAAATTTGGTTTTTGTATAGGGTTGCCAACAGATTTCACCGAATTTTTGATATTTATACCGACATGTTATTAGATTTTCTGCATTTCTGTAACAGAGCTTCCAACTACAAAATTTTACACAAAAATGGATATACTAATTTAAAATTGTTATACTAGAGGTAAAGAAAAGTTAAATAAGGTTTCCATATAAAATATAAGAAAAAATTAAGTATTTGAAAAAAAATCAAATGAATAAAAATATATATATTTTTGATGCCATCCTTTTTACAAATATTATTTAGGCTTAACTGTCGTAGAGTTGCCACATAATTAGGATTTGATAACTTTTTTTATATAAATAAAAATTTTTAATTATTTCAAGTAACACAAACTTACAAATAGGGTTGTCAATAGAAAATAAAAATATATACAAATAATTTTAAACCAAATCAAATTAATAAAACTATATAATTTTTTATTACATAGGTATATCTTAATACCAACATTTAGGCTTAACTTACGCATAAAGTTGACACATAAATAAGATTTGCCAACTACTTTTTACTAAGAAAAAATTAGGAAATAATTTCAAAGTAAAACTATATACAAATTTTTAACATATCGTTGTAGTAGCGCTTGAGAACAAACAAAAAAACAAAAGAGTTGCCATATAAAAATAAAAAAATATATTGATTAGTTTAAAAACACTCAAATTAATAAAACAATTTTTTTTTATTCTCTCTTAATAACGAAATTACGGCTTGCGCATAGAGTTGCCGCATAATTAATATTTGGCAGCTATTTTTAACATAAAAAACTTAGAAATAATTTTCAAGTAATAATAACTTAAAGTATTGTCGTAGTAGCGCCTGAAAAGGTCATATAGCGTTGCCACATGGAAGTAAAAAAATATGACAATTATTTAACAAGCAATTAAGTTATTAAAAATATATAATTTTGTATTGCCTCTTTCCTAATATCAAAATTCAAACTTAACTTAGGCATAGAGTTGCCACATAAATGATCAAAAAAAAAACTGACTTAAAAACAATATTTTTTATGCCATATCATTAAATTAATGCTCAAGGCTCAATCATACCGTATGTATGAAAAGTTTACTACTTCAATATTTTTAATACCGTAGTAAATTTTGCGCAAGGCCTCGCTGCTATTGCTTCATATACTTTGCCACATTCTACAAAAAATTATTTGCTCAAGTGTTTGTTTGTATGTTCCTCTTGTGTTATAATTAACGTCATTAAACTATTTAGATTTGCTAATCACTCTCATTTCGTGTGCAGCTGTCCATTGCCGTCTTTCATTTCGTCTTTGCTTTGTTATGGCTTGCTGCTTCGTAAATAATATTATATAATAATTTGAAATTATCTTTGGTGTATGTATGCATTCTTTAATGTTATGATCTACTTGTACATTTTTGCAGGTAGTCTAAATCTGCAGACTAGCAAACTATTAAGCGCATATCTCTGTTTGCTTTGTTTTATGGCGCTATTAACAGCAATTAAAGGTTGTTAAGTTTTTTTAAAAGTGAAAAAAAAAGAAAATAAAAATAAAAGTTAATGTTGGAGTAATATTCTTATATTTTTAAAGAAATTTTGAATGTGCAATAACATATATGGGTTTAGCCAAAAATGTTGTAAAAAAAAATATTTTTTCTTCTATTTTGCTGCCATATCTTTCAGCTGTTAACTATTTATCATGTTACCAACATCAAAATGTTTTTTAAACTTCCAATCATTTTAAAATTATTATTGTAAGAAAATACTATACAAAATTAAACTAGTCACCAACTAGTCGGAAATGGTCTAGTTAAAGCTCAACCTGAAAAGTTTAAGAAATTTGTTTTGTATTGCTCCTCGCAGATAGATAATGTTCAAAAATTAAATATGTCAGAATAAATTTAATTGTGGACTATATATATGTATGTATATTAAATATTAAAAAAATTCAAACCTAGAATACTATTTATTTAACAAAATTTTGTTGCGTCTTGTCGTATAAATTGCAAATTTTCTTATAAACAATTTTATAAAACATAATTTTACTGATCATCTTACTTATTTATATTTTCCTTTTATGCTTTCAGGTATGTCTTTCCAAGGCGTAACGGTCAATATTTGCTGTGTGTGTATTTGTAAATATATGCGCGTTTATCTTATATATACTATTTATAAATCTTTACACCAACTAATCAATGTCACTCAAATTTAAGGTAAATAAATATTTTCTTTCACAAAAAAATTTGCTGTATTTAGTACAGTGAGTCTGATGATAATATTTTATTTTATTCCTTTTCAAAATAAACTAAAAATTAAGCAAGCGCAAGAAAAACCGACAAATTTAGTTTTTGCAAAGCTATAATACGCTCCACAAATAAAAATTTTTACACAAAAGAACCTAATTTAAATCGGTCAGTTTGTTTGGCAGTTTTATGCTATAGTGGTCCGATATTGGCGGTTGCAACAAATAAGCAGTTTCTTGAGGAGAAAATGGCGTGTGCAAAATTTCAGATCAATATCTCAAAAACTGAGGAACGACCTGTCTAAATGGACGCAGCTTGTTATACTGATCATTCATAAAATATGTATATACTTTATAGGTTCGCCGACATTTCCTTCTGGGTGTTACCAACTTCGTGGCATTCTTAATATAACCCGTTCGGGTATAAAAATGAAAAATATATATATATATTTCTAAAAGCGAAAAAATATTACCGAATTTAAAAATTTTCGAAATTGAAAAATGTTAACAATGCAAAACCATATTAAAAATGTTAACCTTTTTTTAATTTGTAACAATTTGAGAAAATTTTTTTTTTTGTATTTTTTTTTGTATTTAAAATTTTTTTATTTATAAATTTTTTTTTAATATAATTTTGTTTTTTTTTATTCATTTATAAATACTTTATTTTATATAATTTGTTTTTGTTTCTAACAATTTTTCCTTATTTAACATTTTTTTGTTAATTTGTAATTTTTTTTTATTAATACATTTTTTTTTAATTTATAAATACTTTATTTTATATAACTTTTTTTTTAATTTGTAAATTTTTTTTTATTTTAAAATTTTTTTTATTAAGAATTTTTTTTTTAAAGTTATAAATATTTATTTTTATATAATTTGTAACAATTTTTTTTGTAAATTTTTTTAAATTTAATTTGTAAATTTTTTTTATTTTTTGACTAATCTAAATTAAATAGTTTTTATGTCTTTACTTTTCTGCACCACTGCATGATTGTTTACATATAAATGTAAATCATGCGGCAATATTGTTCTTGTAATACAATATGCACACTTGTTTCGCTCTAATCTTATTTACGTTTTATTGCGATTGGCTTACCTATCTACCAGACTCACATTTATATCTACCATTTACAGATGTATGTACTTATGTTGTTTATTGACTTGTTGCGCTACTTGAAAGCAAATTCTTGCGGGTAATTTTGTTTTCTGTTTATGGTGTTTGTTCCGTGCCATCAACTAAATCATTTCGAACCTAGCGACGAGCAGTCATATAAACAAATAATTTCGCTTGTTGCGTACAACAAAGAAAAATTCCACTCAAATGTGTGTTTATATATATCTATATATGTGTATATATAGAAATATATTATATAAACAAATGAAGCGGACAAGGTCGTTCAAGGCCTTCTCGTTGACTGAGTGCACGGTTGCACTACGATAAGGGGAAATACAAATATCTACGTGGTTGCACTAACGTGGAAAAAGTTTGCACTTACATCTTATGCATATGTATATATTTTAGCTGCTGTGATCGGGACCATTTTCTGTCCTACAAAGTGGTTTTATTATAAAACAATGCTATTGAACCAGGGCTAAATCCTTTGAAAATGATAAAAAGTGAAGAATAGTCGTTTCGACAATTGTGAAGGACCCATATCTATCTGAACATGAATTCTTAACTCGGAAGAAGTCTACAAAAATACATATATGGATAAATTTTATGCATCTATAACAAAAACAAAAAAAGCTTAAAAACCGATGTGAATATGCACAAATCTGAATATCAACCATCAACCAACCATCCTCCCATATAACGGTATTATTCGAAATTATTTAAAGACGATACTCAAGTACAATATGCGAAATGATTATGAAATATTAATATTGATGTTGTGGCTGGTATATTAGTTGCACATATGGTTCTCTAAAAAAATTGGGTTTGATCTTGGTAATTTCCAAAATTTCCAAAAATGATCGTAGTTGGTTCATATTTTTCTCTGGATCATATATCAAATTAAATTATATCTCGCACTTTCTTTAAATACCTAACCGTATGTGAGATTTCTAAATGAAATTAAATCGATATCGGTTCATACCTTCCTCTACTCCTAATATAATTATAAAAGACTCTCTGTCGTGCCTTTTATCATTTTCAATCGATTAGTGCGCAAGATTATCGGTTAATTTAATCAATATTTAACAAAAATATATTAAAGTGGTGTTTTTCTTCTTCTATCCTCTATATGACTTATGACATGAGTCCCATTTTCACTAACCTCAACGTATTTACAACATAGACTCAATAGCGACTACTTTTTCCTTGAAATAATTAATTTATTTTGTATTTTTTTGTATATATTCATTTGTAATTATTTTAAGTTTTTTTATAATGTTTTAATACTTTTTTTATATAAATTTTTAATTTTTATTTTTTGTTTTTTATATCTTTTTAATTATTTTTTATTATTTTTAATTGTGTTTGTTTTCGCTAATTCTTACCTTTTCCACTTATTTGTACTTCCTTTTTACCTTTCTATTAACATTTCAATTCACTAATATGTTTTCCTAATTTTCAGTTCCAATTCGAAAAGCAATTCCAATTTTAGCAAATTATCTGGAAAAATTTCGTAATTAAACAAACTTGTTAAGTTTTCACTGTTTTGCTTTAATTTCTGTTTTTAATGAGTTTCGTTTAACAAATTGAGGCGTTCAACCGCGGCATGTGTCAAAAACAGAGCTGGTGACTCAACCAACCATGCCACATACTAGTAGCTATTAACTTAGTTAGCACCACCAGCCTTCATACATACGTACATATGTAGTTTGCACAATAACTGTTTGTCAGACGGGACATATGAGTAATTAAACGTAAATATATTTAGTCTATTTCAAGTTATTATCTTTGGGCACTGTTAGTTTAACGTTTTTTTTTTTTTGTTTGCTTTCTGTTCTGTCTTTAAATATAATTTCAAAGGCTTGTGTAACTTGGTTTTAAACAAACTATTTTTATGTACTATTCTACATTATTAAAGTTTTACATATTTGAAATTGTTTCTAATGTACCTAACTCCTTACGCCATTTCCATACATTTAATAAAGCTGGGATCTGTAATCACCTTCAGTGCCTTTAGCGAATTTTGGTTTTATAGACTTCCGATCATTTGTAGATTGTTGGATAGTTTCGAAATCATATTATCTATATATCTGGCATCAGTAATGATATGTTTGATGAATGTAGAGCCCTCAGCTACATTGTCCAACATCTGGTCGCGACCTCTACTCTACGTCGTTTTGCAAATGATTCAGGCATTTTGGCACAAGTCTAGCATTGACACGCTTCATACCCAAAACATTAACTAAACTGTGTTGAGTGGATTCATAACAGATGTTGAGAACCTCTGTTATCTCTCTGATGCCAACAGGATGATTTTCAATCACGGTTTGTTTAACTTTTTCGCTGTTATCGTCTTGGACGACTCGCATTACGCAAGCGATGATTTCACGACCTGCGAGCCCGCAGTTTAAATGGATTAGTCCGAGTCAAATTTGATCAGATTATTTTTCAGAATGAAATCTTTGGTTGTTTGGTTTAGTTTATATTTCATATTTATACTTTTGTTTAATTTATTTTTAAAAAAAGTTTTTACACTACTAGATTTTTAATTTTATTTTGGAAATGCATATTTTTAGAAATTTTTTTTTTATATTATAACTAGAAAACCCAAAAAAATTACGTTTCTTCAACCATTTCATTTTTAATTCTTATTTTATTTTCAATTTATCTTTCATATTGTAATAATTCATTATTTTATAAGGTTACCAAATAATTTTTTTATTTGCTGTTTTGTGCAATTTATATTTTAACAAGCTATTTTTATACGTAACTAGATCTTTTACTTTATTGCTTTTTATAGTTTTTATTTGTTAACATTTTATTAATGTTTTTGTTTTTTATAGTTTTCTTTTAATTTTTAATTTTAAACCAGAAAATAATAATTTTTGAATTTATTAAAAATGTTTTGTTTTTTAAATTTTATTTTATTATTATTTTTAATATATGTCTATACATATATTTCATATTGCCATAATTAAGTGTTTTGTAATTTGTGTTCATCACATAATTTTATAGTTTTTAGTTAATTAATTTTGAAATAAAAAATTTTGTGTTTGCGCCTCTAAAATTTTTTATTTTATTGTTTTTATTATATTATATATATATATATTTTTATTTTTTTCTATGATGTTTTGTTTTTAATTTGTTTGTGTGTTATATTTTGGTTTTTTATACATACATATATTTTTTTGATTAAATTTTGTAACCTTAATAAATAATTAATAAAGTTAAATATTTAATAAAGTTTAAAAAATATCTTTTATTTAGTTTCTTATTTATTTAATTATTTTTGTAATTAAAGTTTATTGTATAATTCTTTAATTTTTTTTGCGTAATTTATTTTTAAATTTATGACCTTTTATAATAATTAGAGTTTTTATTATTATAATTGTATAAAATATTTTTTAACTTTAAAACTTTGTGTATAGAAAATAAAAAAGTAATAAGTTTAATTTCTTTTACATATTATTTTTTTTAAATTAATTCTTTTAGTAATTGTTTTTTGGAATTTTTGTTTTATATTATTTATTAATATTATATTTCTTAATTTTTTATGATTAAATTTATAATGAACAGTTTATTAACGTGAAACCAAAAATATAAAATTTTTTAATTAAAATTTTTTTTTATATAAAATTAATTTTTTTCCTGTTTTTTAATTTTTGAAATTTTTTGTTTAATTTATTTTATTTTACTGTTTTTTTTTTTTCCTACATGATAATATATATATTCATTGTACTATTTTTTATGTTTTTATTTATTCAAATTTAGTATAACATATAATATTTTTTTATATCAAATTTTGTATGCCAGCAATCATTTTTCCTTTGACAATTTAAACAGTTACTTCAGCACACAACACTTATCCAACAAAAAT